CAGGGTGCTTGACCATCGTGACAGCCTCCAAGTCCGGCGTCTCGCGTGAGTTAAGGAGTACTGACGCAAGGTAAATAATACCACAAAAATTAACAGAAAGAACTTCTTAATCATTAGATTAAGGCGGACGAGGAAAAGGAACCTGCTATCCCCCTATCCATCGCCGCGAGTAGCAAAACCAAAGGAGGGTAACCCCACCGGGCTCTCAACCCCATCGATTCTTCCGCCGTACTCTGGTATCCCGCGTCGTCACCGCTCGACCTCGATCCCTGAATCTCTTTGGTGAAAGCTCGATGTTATAACATGTGATAACCCGTCCAAACACGGACTGAAACACACAACTGATTTCTGAGTTTTGCTCATAGACTGAATGCCCTACTGAGTTCCCTGCCTGCTAAGTCTGTGTGTGTGTGGGCTTGCTGGACTGCATGTCTGTCTGAGTGCTGGTTGGCTTGCGTGTGTGTGACTGTGTCTGTCTGAGTGCTGGTTGGTATGAGTGTGTGTGTGTGGCCCGCCAGGGCACTTGTTCGTTCGTTGGGCCCTCAGGGCCGGTACTTACCTGTGGCCGTGGCTTCGAAGGGTTGCAGCGGGGAAAAAGCACTCAAGTAGTGGGTAGGTCGGTACCGCACCTGGCAGGGGGGTAAATATGCAGGTACCGGAGGCCGAGCAGAAGAAGACAGAAGTGGCATTTTTAGAGGCCGGTAGTGTAGGCTAGGTCTAGCGGGTACCAGTCTGAGTCTAGGGCCTGTAGGGGCAATATCAGAGTCTGCAATGAAATTTCCCTCCAAAAAAAGGAGGAGGTACCGGTTGCTTGGGAAGGCCAGCGGCCTGGAAGTCACCGCCCAAGAGGCAAAGCAGGCCGCTACATCTTCAGGTCGGGCGGAAGACCAGGCCTCTTTTTCGGTGTGCAAGTTTGGCAACACACTGGTGGAGCGCTGGCTGGAGCAGCGCTAAGCTGGAGCAGCGCTGCTGGGGAGGAAGGAGAAGGACATGAGGGAGGAAGAAGGAGGAAGGAGGAAGGAAGGGGGAGGAGGTCCAGGGGTACTTACCTGGCTATGGTGGCAGCCATCTTCATCACCTTGGTGGGCGCTGCAGCAAGAAGTGCCCAGCCGGGGAGAGCCACACCAAGAAGCTTCAAGGCAGGGTTGGGCATGGCGGCCTGAGCTAGAGCAGCCATAGCTGCTTTGGGTTGTCCTTTGGACGTTTGGGCAAGGCCTAGTAGTCCGCCATAGCCTCGGCCTATGAGAGTGAAGAGTGGGAGGGGCGGCCATGGCTATGGTGGACCTCGAGTGATACCTGCGGTAGAAGAGGGACTCGGACATTGATTCTAGACCAGCCATTCAACATTGTACTATTATTTCTTGTATGAATAAGAGAAAGGGGAGATAAGGAGGAGGAGATTGTTGGGCGAAGAAGAAGAGCCTTGTCATTGTTTTTGCTGGTGTACATCTTCTTCTTCTTCTTTCTTACTTCTTCTTCTTCTTCTAATCCTCTCTCTCCTCTCAAGTTCATTCATTTCTTTCTGCAATTGGATGGCATTGTACTTTCCGGTGGATGTGTATCTC